TGTATCAAACAGTCTCAACAAACTTAATTTCAGGATCAGTAACAATCACAGAGACAAATACAAAATAGCATGTGATGTAAAGGTAATTGTGATGTCCATGGAAACCCGTATCTGAGCCATCATTCAAAGATTTCCACCCCATAGAAACATGTTTTTAATTCTGCTCAACACATAGGCTTTGTCACTGACAGTTAAATACAAGAAAGAGGTTACGGTCCGGGCTTGTTCTTGTCACACACCAGGAGGCAGCTGATGTGTAACACAGTGCACTAAATTGGGACATATGCAGATGAGTTCTTATCTAACCCTGACCGGATTTGGAAAAGCTGCACATTTTGCTTCTACAAAGTAAAAAGGTTTTTCAGCGACAACCCTTAGAAAACAAACGACTGCTTATTCACAATGAAACACCTTCTTCCATTACCATCATTGATCAGCGTGCTCTATATGCTCATGTCAAAGTGCTGTGAGTCAATGATAAGAAATTATTTTCTGATCTTCTGTAACCCATTTTGTAAAAATAGCCCTGGCAAAACCTGATGGGCGAGTGGGGATGGGATTGATTTATTAATCTAATCAGACCAATGTAGGACACAAGATGCATTTGTCCTCCTCTCTGAATCAGCCAGGATAGCACTTGAGGTCATTCTCCAAGAAGATCAGCCAATCACTTCAGACAATCTTCCCTAATTTTCCATCTTCCTTTATAATCTCTACAATCAGGGACAGAGCAGGGAAAAGCACCTCCGCTTTGATGTTGACTTTGATGGATTTGTTCTTCTATTTCCCGCCACAAATGTACGACATCCTCGCTTAAAAAGTCTCTTTAATCTTATTTTCCTGCAACAATATTGATTTTTGAATTTCAAACAAACAATCCTCTTCGCATGAAAGACATGAGACTGTGATTTTTTTCCCTGCAACGATTAGGTTTTAACATGATCTGAGGCATGCTCACTGGATGTTGAAGAACTAACAGGCTCCCTTCATGCTTGGCATGCAATGTGAAACCATGTGGTGGATGAGCAACATCTTTAAACCAGTGATTCCATGGGGTACAGCAACTGGGTCAAAATATGGAGCCTCCAAGGGACATATGAGATTGTCATCATCTTGTGGTAATCAACGGACATTACAGCTGTTTATGAATAACTGTAAAAGAAGCAGCAGCATTTAATCACAAACTGAACGCTCAGTGGGTTATCATAGGTTTACATAATAGGTACACTTAAAAAGCAAATGGAAATATTGTTCTGGTGTTTGTTGGTTTTTCTTTCCCCAGCTGAAGCGAGACCTTATTAGTTGTCACTGTGGTCAAAAATAGCAACCGAACAGGAGTGTGTTTTGGAACAGCTCCTGGAGATTGATGATTGATTACTATACAATTACTGCTGAAAGCAGCAGGGCCCCTCCTTCTAATCACTGCTTGCGTCGCTAAAAGGAGATTATCACATAGGAGAAGCTTGTTAGAGCCACTTCCTCCCTGCAAATCAATAAAAATTACTCAAGAGATTGCAAGCATACATCAGAAATGTCTCAGTTGAATCCCTAGGCTGGCTCTACACATTTGAAGACAGGTACTGTACATTATTCTGTGTATGTGTGTGTGTGGGTGTGTGCCTCCTGTGGCAGTAGATCTGACCCCCACTGAGATGCTGGCCTCAAACCATGTCTAATTAAAGCTGCTTTTCAATGCCAGCGCTCTGGAACTTCAGGTCCTCTCAACAATTAAGTGCTGGATTTTTACTCTGGTCTCGAGCGAGAAGAAAAGGCACATCCAGGGGGTTGATTATCCCCCTCTCCCTCCCCACTCTGCCTCTACTCATTATTGGATTCACTTCGTTGATGGAACCCCATATACTGAGCAGGGAGAGACAGCCAGACCGCCATACAATCAAGCACACCGGAGACACCCGGAGAAATAGGACAGAAAATGTATAGCATCGTATTTTAAGTCGAAGCACGAAAAGTGTTAAGAGCTTCTTGTCACCATGGTCAATTGGAAACAGGTTAGAGAGATAGTCACATAACCAGAAGGTAAGAGGTTCAATTCCTGCTGCTCTGTCATTGAATGGTGCCTTGGATAAGAGCTTAATTTCTGATTGTAGTGTCTGGATTTAAATGTTCATATGTAACACAGATTCAACTTTAAATTGAAATAGTATTGCTTGTAAACGCTACAGAACATAGTATTAACAGTAAAACCCCAAACACATAAAACCAAACCTTATTGACCTCTTAACATAGACTCATTATCTTATACGTTTATGTACATATTTTACTGTTACCCACAGAATAGTTGTTACTACAGAATAAGTGGCACTTACCAAACACAAATTAGTCATCGCAAATCACTGTAATTGTCTTGTGTGGCTGTATGCCCAGCCTGCAGCGGTCCACTGTATTAATGACCTCTGCTTTTAAATAATTTGACCGAACACGAACATTCTCATCATTCTGTCAGCAGAACTCGCCGCTGCAGTGAACCTGACACACTGAAGCTGCACCATCATGTTACTGTCAGTGTTGGAAAGTACATTTACTACTACTACTGTACTGGTTCTTGTATATACCTCAAGTATTTCAATTTTAGTTACAAGTTACCAAATGATGATTTCCCCTCTGGTCTTCTCAGATGGGAGGGTAAAATGATCTAATATTTCACAAAAAGCAAAGATAAGAGAAAATGAAATAAAAAAAAAGAAATATTTTGTGCTTTACCTATTAATCATTTCACAACTCCCCAGACTTATCTTGTGATCCTTTTTTATACATTGTTGTATTGGTACTTTTGGTACTTTTACTTAAGGTTAAGTACTTCTTTCACCATTGGTTGCTGTGACATAAAGCAACATAAACTTCTATAACCTTTTGTATGCATTGATTTATAATATTAGCGACACAGAATGAGGCCAAAGCGGAAAATAACACCTCAGGTGTTAAAGAGCAAGAAAATTGTTAGAACAAATAGAAATAATAATTATAATAATTGCAATAATAAGATTTATTATAATAATTGTTCAAACAAATTATAAGATGAATAACTTTGGGGCTTAACTGAATAAAATAAGGGAATCAGACCCAAGGTATTTAAAGGTTTAAGACATATTCACAGTTACACATTTCCTGAGCTTTAAGGACCAGTGTGTAGGATTCAGTGACAGCTGTGGTACAGATTGCAACCATTTGGATATAGCTCAGCCTTTTAAGCAATCAGGAGAATACGTTGGCCACAAAACTAAAAAAAAATATGAAAGGCACAATCTAGAGCCAATATTTGGTTTGTCTGTTCTGGGCTACTGTAGGAACGTTGTGGTTCCACATGGGAACACGAGGACCCACTCACCCTGTAGATAGAAAAATAAAGAAAACGGTTACGAAGGCAGGTAATGAAAACATCATTTTCAGGTGATACACTAACAAAAACATACCTTTGAATATTATACTCCATTTTTGCCAATAGATCCTCCTAAATGTTACACACTGGACCTTTACATAAGCCTGTGCTTTACAAAGTCGAGAAGTGTTCAGTCTCCATGTGATCATGCACTACCTTTAAGAGCCACAGTGAGCCACAGATAAGGCCTCCATTAGAGCTGTTATTTTAAAGCATCTCACCCCTTAATGGACTCCCCTGGCCCAGCCACAGACCCACTATCTTATCCTCACTGGCCCAGTTAACCAGCCAGGGTTTTGCTTACTATAGGTGTGAGACTGTCTGAAACCGCAGTCAGGGCCCCTGCTGAGAGTATGGTGAGGTGCTGATGTGTTGGCAGCTCCACAACAACTATTAATACCTCTACAATGGCAACCTTGGAGAGGTTTACAAATATTTAAATGGAAATATACAGTGTACATGCAATGAGAGTGTGAGTTATTAAAAATATATAATTATATAATTTATATATTCTATAAACCAAATTAATATTAAGTTAAGTTTGTAATATTGTATCGCTAAAATGGTTAGCTGATGAAAGGTGTAGTTTGACATTGTAGAAAATATGCTTATTCATCATGTCTGCACACTAAATATGAAGCTACAAGAAGCAGCTGGTTAGCTCAGCATTAGGACTGAAAGAGAGCATGTCGATTACACTTTTGTGTTTGAAACAACCAAGATGTAATGTGCTGATTAGTTAGCTTTAGAGGTGATGGTTGGCTAATGTTTGTATACCTTTCAGCAGAGCAAAGCTAACCAAATCATTTCCAGTCTTTATGCTAAGCTAAGCTGAACAATTGCTTCTTTTAGCTTTATATTTGGTGTACAGGCATGCAAGTATGATTTTTTCATTTAATTCTAACAATTTATTTAATCAATCCACTGAGAGAAATCAATAATCATTCACACAAATAAAGTTTGATGATGATGAAGCAAAAATGTCAGACATTTGCTGTTTTCTAAACCTCAGATGTCTTAAAATAGTTGTTATTTTCTGTCTTATATCAAACTTAACTGAATATTTCTGTGTTTTGGATTTTCGGTCTGACAAAACAACCAATTTGAAGATTTCTGGAAATGAATGCATTTCCCCAATTTTCTGATCAAATAAATCAGTTGATTAAAATATTGGGAAATTAATCAGTAGCAAAAGTAATCATTAGTTTCAGTCCTACAATATTCATAACTCTAATTGTCACCTGGATAATCCCTGTTCACCATCTCCACTGCCCTCTAATGACCCTCTAGCTCTTTTCTCCCGTGTCCCATTCAGAAAGAGTCATCTTGCCTTTCAAATTTTAACAAAGCCAGAGTCACCTGAAAGGTCAAGCCTTCCTCGCTTAAATGTACAGAATAAAGAGCCGTGTCAGAGGCACCTTCATCAGCTGACAATGCCGGGTGCCTTTACAGAAACCGGACAAAAGAGAAACATCCATTACTATGTGGTTCTTATGGCATCCGGTCCTCACGCATGTTCCACGGTCACCATAGAAGAGAGGCTGCAATTTTCCACATTTAAAAGCCCACACACTGAAGCCTGGTAATGAGATGTACTGGGGTCTTAAAAGCTTCAAGAACAAGGTTTATTAAACAACTGATGTATTGGTGTGATGTGCTAGTGTTCACATTTTCATCAGTTGCTTGACACCGAAATTAATGCTAAATCTATGTTCAAAGTTTGTTTTGTTTTTTTCTACAAAAAAAAAAAAAAATGTACAAACAGGTAACATCACTTTGCAACCAGTACACTGAAACATTACATTCCTATTTTAACACCATGCACTTTAAGATAATGAAAAACAATAAATGTGTGTGCGTAATACGGAAGAGGTGATTGAATTTTAGTCTGAATGCCAAGTAGGCACTTGGCAAGGATTCAGTATTCAAGCAGCATTGATAGTATTTTACCATTAGTTGCTCCCTCATGTATGCTCGCCTAAGGTCCTTTAGGTAGTCTGAGAATTGGTTTCGTGGGGCCGATGATGATTTCCAAAACACACCGCAATTTCAAAACCCAAGGTAAGCACTGGTTTTTATTACCACGATTCCAAATAACACTGCAATACCTCATGATCTTTTTACCATTCAATGTCTTTTTTCTCTGAGGAGTGTTCAAGTTTTTACAGCATCTTAGAAAAATAATTCGTTCTGTATGTACAACAACAATAATGGTGATAGAAACATGTTAACAACATTATGTACAACATTTGTTGCCTGATCCTGATCAACGATGTGGTGAAAAGTACCTGTCACATGGGTGATGGGTGAGTATTGATACACTGAATGCTTACTTCACTGTAATTAAATCTTTGATCAAGAATTAATATGATTGTGACATATTTATGAGATATGAGAATTATTTAATATCCATTTGCAGTATTTTTTTTTTTTTTACTCAAAATGACAAAAGATATAACATTCTCCTTTTTCAACACCAAAATAATCAAATCAACTAAAAATCAATAAACCAAATACAAAACAACTTTCTAAAGGCACACGTCACTATTCGGCTCCAAGACATCAGGATTTCTTAAGATATTATAAAGAAGTGGGCAACATCTTTGTAGCTGGAAACTTTCAGAAACTGATCGTGTGAAATGTTACTGTGTAAGTGTATGTGTAGTAATGATGCTCTCAGATAGCTGTGATAACACAGTGCATTTAAAGTTTTTCAGAGTAGTCATTATCATTTAGGGAAAACTCTTACATTCATTTAAAATCAGTTATATCTACTCATAGTCTTGATTACTTGCTACTTCCTTTGCCTGTTATAAATAAACGTTCATACAGTATGTCGGTCGAAAGAGCTGCCTCACATTTTTCATCCGTACTGTACCTACTGTAATTCCTTTTTGTGTCCATTTTTTTTATATGATAGTTTGAAATCCACCTTACTAACGAGAGCCCAACCAATAAATCGGCCGATATTAGCTTATCACAGATATATTATTATCTGCCTACATGTCAGCCAATAATTAACAAGAAACTGCAGTGAAGAAATGCCAAAGATATGTTTTAGGTGATTTAGAAATCGCATTAGACTGTTTGTCAACCAGCCCTGATAGGTAGTTTGGAACATATTTATAAATTAGAATTCTTTAATAACCAAATTTAAGGAAAAATTAATAATTATTTATGTTAAAGTTAAACTGAAATAACAAGCTTTTCTCAGAAATCCGTATTTGGTTAATTACCAAAAAGAATACATTTTCAGTTGTATTTATTTTTCTGCAGTGATAGCGCCCCTTACTGTACATTAGTGTTTTCCAGGGGATGTGAATTCTTGGTATCAACCATACACAGTCTATGGTACTGACAGTCGTGGTAGTGGTAATTTGATTGGTACAACCGTGCAGCCACACAGCTGGTGCTGTTAGCCCATGTTCAGCCTCATCTTTGATTCGATTGTCTAACTACTGTGTTAGTCTGTATGTTATTCCGTGTAGTGGGTCGAATCAGGGGTAGACAGTGTGACAGAGTGCTGAAGTTTCAGGATTAGTTTTGACAATCTGGCCATTTCCTACAACTGGATCAATTAAAAAGAGACAATTAATGCTAGTTAGACCCCTCCTTCGTATAATGTGGGAAGAACACTGAGTAGGTGTTCAGTCAGCTGGTGCTAAAATAACATGAACAAAAAATAACATCTATAGGGAATTAGCTCCAGGCTAGCTAGCTTCCACTTTCCAAGTGGAATACAAACTTATGGGTCCTCCCAAATGTCTCCCAATTCAAAATGAAGTTAGAATTTAAATCTAAATGATCGGTACATTATGTTATGATATCAGCTTCCGCATTGGTTGGGCTCTATTAACATCACTTCAATCTTATTTGAATGTAACACAGACGCTGATATGGAAAGAGGATGAGCAGCAGTCATAACAACAACAGTCTTGTTTTCAGATTGTACCTACAGTGGAAACCAACCAACCCACTGTACACAGCAAAAGGAGGGTCATTTACAGTGCAGACCATCGCAGAAACGTGCCTTGCGATATCCTTCGTATAGATGCTCTTCTGTTTAATTGTTTGTCCAGCAGCTAAGCAGCAGTCTGAGCAGCACAGTGGACGCGGGGCTGGCAGCTGGCCTACTGTTGAGTGCTTAGATTTCAATGTTCTCCATGCAGAGGCCTCACACATCGTTCTCCCTGCTTGGACACGACAAGGTCACCAAAGCCACAGCTCGTCATTCCACCTGAATGGCTAGTGCAGCCGCTCTCAAACCTGTTGGCGAGCTGTAAAAGGAGACGTCTCCCTAATGGAAGATAAGCCGCTGCTGCCTGGATCTCTGTATATTTCGGTGTATGATGTGTGGTTAGAGCCACCTGGTGAGGGCGTGGAGAGCCAGGACTGGTTAGGATGAGGACAGAGTGGCGGGGGGAGAGGCGAGGTGAGGGATCAGACACTCAGGGTCATGTTACGGAGCAGCCACTGCTGAGAGCGGCTGTTGTTGCAGTCTCTCAGGGTGGGCACCATCTTGTCCTCCTCAGATGGCATGTCCAAACACTGGTTGCTGTTCACGTGCAGCAGGGTGAGTCGCTGGAGAGGGGACGGAGACAATTACACGGATGTAAACACATTAATGTACAAACACAAATAAATCAGCACTTCATAATGTACTGTCTGTTTTTCAGTTACAGTTTCTCAACTTGCCTCATCGACTGCAATTCAACTCCTCTGTGGGGAAAGTTGAATCAACCTGTATGACTAAGATGAACCTTCAAAAAGACACACTTCAACTATTGATTTCCCCCCACACTTACACTCACATACCTCTCAAGCCAGTAAATGGCCTAAGCTTTTTGGAGCAAGAAAAAAACAATAGGAACATAGAGAGCAGGATGTTCTAGTCGAGAGAAGTGAAAGTCTAGCCCCTTGTACAACACAACAGAATTGAGGTCCCCGTTGGTGTGGCACTTTATAGGAAGTAATTCTCTGTAAATGACCATTGAGAATCAGAAGCATCACAATCTAACCTAACGTTTATGTTTACAGCTACAAAAGTAATATGTTGGATCTTCCGGATAATCAAATGATTGTTATTGCTTGTGCCAATACCACTGATGATCAACACACCAGTCTACAGCTCATACCAGTTTTCTGTCGCTTTTAATTCAATGTTTTGGTTTGCAAACCAACTGTATGCTCCCTGCTCTGCCTGAAGTGTACTTAGATATTGTATGTGCTAGGGTCGTCTATGTTTCTGAAGATGTTTTATATATGTATAAAATTACATTAGTTGTTAGCTAGTGGAATGAGGCTTGCTCAACTGTTATTACAGCACAGAGCAAAAAGGGGCGGGACTTAGGGTCAATTTCATTTAGCTGTTTCAGTTTCAGGGTCCTGGTATTGTGCATGCTGACTCACGTTATTAGAAACACCTTCATCTTATTGACATTCATTCTCTAATTGTTTCAGTAATATCATAATGATTACTAAATATGGGATTAACTGTCTCAGATTGTGGGTGTATTTCTTAAGGGTGGATTTAGATTGAAATGATTCTGACCTCAAACATTCCTGTTTACTCTGCATCATACACCATATCCTCACAACAAAATAAGCTCAAACATACCTCCTGCTCCACTCCCCACATTGTCCCTCCTCCTGTCTGTGTACTGTTCTATCACATAAACCAGAACTGGCAGAAGACAGAACAAGCACTTTTAAAATGTCCAGACTGGAAGAGCACACCTGTTGTGATGAGCTGAACTCAAGTACTACATGAGCATGTACCACAGAAATCCTCTGTGGCTCCAGAGCTCCAGAGATAACACCCCCCACTAACAACTGGAAGAGAGCTCTCAATGGCCTTGATTAACCATTTATGTTCATTCCTTCAAAAGTAACACACTTCCGCAATTTCGTTCCTCTCTTGAGCTGCTTTTCTGGTCCTAATGATCACATGCAGAGAAGTTTGGCCGGTGAGGAGAAGCAGAGCCTCTGCTGAGGAAAACAATGCCATGAGAGAAATTGGGAAAATTATGTTGAAAATAGAATTGTATGCATGTTAGGTGCCACTGTAAGTAAGTGTAAGTGGTAACACTAAGTGTTATAATGCTTCAAAATGGATTTTTAAAAGAAAACCTTCACAGACAAAATGAAAGAGCAGTCTGCAGCCTGCATTCTTGGAGGTCATTTTCAAACTAAACAGCACAGCACACATGAAAGAAAAATACATGTGAACTACTACTACAAACCACATTCTGCATGTGGTATGATTTATCTTGCGGTCGAGGCATAATTCTTCATTAAAAGAAGATTGTGTTTTGACTGTTGACAGAGGGTATTCAGACTAATGAGCATACAGAGACACTCAGGCCATGTTTGATCTTAAGCTATAAAACACAAGGGCCTGACATTCTCTGCCTGGATACAAAGAAGTGCACACACGCCACACACACACACACACACACACACACACACACACACACACACATCTTTCCTGAAGTACACATCGCAGACCACCCTACAGGCACATTTGTTCAAACAGAGCAAGAACAAAGAGAGCAGGTGGTGTTCGACCTTCCACACCTGTCAAAAAACTAAAAAGAACAATAAAGTAGCTCTACACCAGAGACAATTTACTTTTTTAGCTTTATTTTAAAAAATAATTCATTTTTAACGACCGTTACAACTCAGTCAGAGGTAGAGTTCTGTCTATGCAGTTTTAAGGATAAGTGAGGAAAATCCTCAATACTTCCTCTTTAAAAGGCATATTCACACATCTCCGAACTGGAGGTAGAGCTAATCGATAAATCATAAGAACCTGGTGAAGGCAATAATGAGACTAGTATTTTTTTTCCTTCAATTCAAAGATCTAAACCTACTCTAGTGGCAGAGATGACGGATGAGGAGCATAACGGCGGAGATAGAAAAAAACATTCCACATTTAATGAAAATACTAGAAACGCGGAGGTCCTGTCCTTTGCTCATAATTATTTCATGTCTCCTTTGGGCGAGAGAAAACTCCCATCTCAGCCTCCCAGCAAACCAACCTGTGTCTCCGGAGCAAGTCGCTGAGTGTGTGCACAGCTGAGACCAGCTAATTAAATGAGGACGGTTTCTAACCGTAAGCCCCGGTTGAGGAACATTATCCTCTTTGTCACCAAGCAGCACGCTGGACTTGCTGAAAGGCACAAGAGTTCCTGTTTCGTGTGATCTTGTGCTGACTCTGGAAGGAGATCTAGAGGGCTGGGCTGCTTTTTGTGGGAAATATAAAAACAGCAGATTCCTTTTGTCTCAAGGCAGAGTCAGGCAACAGTCTCATTTGCTCTTATGGTGCCCTGCTCTTGTGTACGTGCTCTCCTCTTGTGCTGGCTATGCCACAAGGACCTCTGAGGGTGAACAACAAATCAGGCCATCTAACAGCAGGTCACTCTACTGCCGCAATTCTGACACACACCAGCAGCCCTGGAAGCTCCTTACCCAATTTACCCTGCTTGGACACAAAAACTGTGCCATGCTACAGTGAAATTGCTCTTTAGCTTTTTGAGAAATACAACAGTACAGGACTCTCAGGAGCAAACTCCATATAACTCAGCAGAACACAATTGGCTACAGAGAAAAGGGCACAGAAACTGGAAAAAAAGCAGGACAACCCTGAAAAGGACAGAAATTATGAGCCAAAAAAACATTCCTTACAAACTTATGTAAATAAGCAAGCCGAGTGGTGAAAAGCACTGATTTGAATTGGAATTCATTGCTTTTACAATATGTACATGGCACACAGTGTACACAGCTGCATCAGGCCAATAGGAGAGTGGCCTGAGAGGCCAGGGCCATGAAAAGCAGGTTCACAATGAAGGATCACTTCAAAAGAACTTGTAAACAATGGCAAGCCCATTTCAATCAGCCCCTGCATGTAGATAATCAGCTAAAAATAAACACATCCTCCTCCATCTCAGGCATCATTCACCAAACGCTGGCAGTCTACGGGACAGCCAGTGGATTTTCACATCAAAATAAAATATTTATGTTGGAAAATAAATGTCAAATGAGATCTAATTTGGCATGAAGGCTGGCTAAAGGTCTTGCAGATAGCATCTTATACACAGAACCATCTTGATGGGACATCTGTCATTGTTTGATGGGCCTCTGCCCCCGTCTTCATACGTTCCCCCTGAAAGGTCACCGCTAAAAGCTACTTAGTGCTTCCTAAAGCAATTTTCATGCACATTCTGACTAAATACCTGAAAGATCAACATCACAACAAGCCCTGCATTTATCTGCTCTCGCTGACAAAAACGAAATAAAAAAAAAATGAGACAACAATCAGCTACAAAGATGCCTATTAAAGCCTGAACAGGTCCAACAAATCTACTTCAAGTTCTAACAATGCTAATGACTACTACATCACTACAAAGCGGCTAAAATAACCACCAGCTTCTACTCCAAGCCTAATTTGTACTAACCTGCTCACCTCAGCCCTATAGCAGACAGGAGCTTAGAGAAAATAATCAGTGGGACTGAAGTAGAGGCGTCTAGCGACCTCCTGACGTGTGTAGTTGTGGAGGATCCAGGTCTGTACGGGACTGTTGTTACAGTACTCCACTGTGGGGCCGTAGGTGCCGTCCTCCAGACGGCTGATGGTCAGACATGATTGGGTGATGATGTGGAGGAAGGTGTGCTTCTGCGATGAGCCGGGAGTGAAAGGGACAGATGGTGGTGAAGGTAAGTCTGAGAGTCATCAGTTATTGTTAAATTAATCCATCTGTTCTTCACAGACAACTTTTCCAGATTGGTAAGAGGTGATTTCAACGGTTCATTCAAATAGAAAAGCTGTGTTGTTAATTTAAGGTGTTAACTGGACTTAACATTTATCATTTTTACATATACTGTTTGTCTCATTTTAAGGATGTTTTTATAAATTATATTTGTGGAAAGTTTTGCAGTAATTTGAAAACGTTTGAAATTTGCCTCCCGTGTGTTGAGATTTGATCCTATGACTTTATGCCACGTTCATGTCATTTTAAATAGCATTTACGTCAACCACTGAGTTGTAATTACAACATGGAAACACTTTTCTCTAAATATATATCTGATATATCTCACCTAAAGTGCCTAAAAACAGAACAAATAGCCAAAGACCATTGTTCAATTATATATTATATTATTATAATATAGTTATATAGTCAATGCACAGTATGTTAATACTACTTAAGCATGATCAAAACATTATCTCTCCAATAAACTTAGTTTGCTGAAATTCCACATTTTCTTTCACACAACTGCATCTTCCACACTTGTCCACCAGGTGGGAATTAGATAACACTGAAGAACATCGTCATAAATCTTTTTGGCTGAGACAACCCGACAACTATCAACTGGAAAACTAGACTAATGACACTATTAGTCTCTACAACACAATACATGTATACCAAAGTAAAAAGTACAGCTGGATATCTTGAAAATTCTGCAGATTTCCCATTTAAACTTAAACTCTCTGTGTAAGTAAGACTAGGGGAATATCATTTATGTAAGTGGTATATTCACAGAGCAGAGCGAACACAGCTTATTTTTGGCTGAAACAGCAGAGCAGGTGAAAAAGAAGGAAGGCTGTCTGTCATGGTTGTGAATGAATACAGCAGGAATGGAAAAGTCAGGTTTTCCTGTGAATGTGAAACTGATGACCAGATGAAATGTTAATGGTACTGTAGTCACCCAGGATTCAGCCCCTGTCTGTCACACTTTGGGCTAAAAATAACCTCGGCCACCGACAGCGGTGAAACCCCAATGCTGTTTACAACAGAGACCAGTCCTCTTCGTTTATGAATTATTCAATTTTTTTCATATTAAGAATGCACCCAGAGAACAAAGTGTAATGAAAGGATTTCTCAGAGGGTTTGTTCGGGGCTTGATGGAAAGGCCTCCAGGCTTCCTTAACTTGTCATACCTACATGTCAGCGATAGGACATCTCAATCACTGACAGATAACACTGTATTTGGTCTTTTATAACCGTCTGAGTTTTTTTTTTTTTTAAATGCATAAATTGTTAAAAGATGCTTTTTGAGATGTATAATCCATAATGTACTTTGAGTTCTGAGTCAACAGGGCTTGAAGAGAATATTTTTGTTCTCCTGTGAGATTCACAATGTCTCCCTGTTTTCCATTTAAGAGCCTGCAACATCTGTTTCTGCATTTGACTGAATACTGAAATTGTAAGAATATTACAGCCAGAAATATTACGTAAAATGAGAGTCTGCTGTTTAATATGCATTTTTTTGGCTTTGTCATTTATCTAATCTTTTTTTTTTCCTTTTGGTGCTAGTACAAATGAATAAACTGTGACTCACTCACACATTTGTATGTTATGTAAATCCAATAATCTCTTGCCTGAGTGTGTCTTAGAGGCCATAAGGTCTGTAATGTACCACACACCATTAAATGCATTAGGGTTAGATTTTTTTTTTTTCTTCCTCGTACTACTTTGTTGTTTTGTTTTGATTTCCAAGATATTAGGTCAGCTTTATATTTAGCGCTGACCTTTGGTTTATTCGTATAGACTGCCCATCAAGTTAAATGTTTGCAAAATGTTTCCACCCCGTTTATTTCAGTGAGGATAGATTAAATAACAGAAACATCTCTCCGTATAATGCAATACAGTTCAACAGCACCTCATACTGCAGGCTCCAAAATGACCATAAAGTTGAATCAACACCTCACTAAAACATTATAACCTTCATGAAGGGAGGATTTATTGCAGGACTGGGTGTATCTGCTTGCTGATTTTATGTGATGAGTAAATACATAAAATATATATTTTTAAATACATTTGGATCATAATCCATTAAAGCTTTGACTTCACTCCTCTACCAAAAAGGTTCACGTCAAAATTTAAATGATCTATTCTAATAACTACTCACACATAACAGTTCACACAGTGTTATAGGACATCACAAAACTGGAAGCACAGGACTCAAACTAAGGGGCAATATTCTGGAGCGCTGACTTGAAAAGCTTACCTCAAAATCATATTCCCACTTGCCAACATACTATGTGAAAGGAGAGAACATGAGAGGAGAGACACAGCTGCTGGGTGGAAAAATCCACTCAGCTTCTATGCTGCTAAAAAACTGCCATAGAGCACCATCTGGTGGCAGCAAACATGTACCCAATTCCCCACTTCGCACTACCCAAATCCTCACTGTGCACAGCAATCTCCTCATGCGACAGACGGAAAGACAATCAATCAGCATTTCATCAAAGTCATTTTCATCATAACAGACATCAGAAGGCAAGCAAGGCCTCCTGTAATAACAGCCTGGTAATAGATTATTCGGCTATTCTGTGAAACACAGATCTTACCTCGGCATCGTACTCAAACATCTGATTGCCCTTCATATGGTGACACTTGAGCATGACGACAGGTCCGTTGAGGCGGGAGACATCCAGACAGAGGTCATCTGTCCTAATTTCTTTATCCGCTGTGTATGAGAACACCTGGAAACAAGATGTCTCACTCAGAAAGGCCGACATTATTCATAACTTTCCACTCAAGAAATGCAAACTTTGATTGTGTTTGAAAGTGAAGTGTGGTGTGATGTGGACAGATATTATTCTTGATTTGTATTTTGATTAACAGTATTTATTCATGAGGTGTGTTGTGTTCAATGTCTTTTTGGTTCTTTCAACAGACACAGTATTTAGCTGCTTCTTTTTTTTTTTTTTTTACAGGATACTAAAGGATTACACTGAGACTCCCCCATAACGAGTGCTGTAAGGACAGAGGGGACAATGATTAAAATAAAATACAATCAAATTTTTGGCACAAACCTTCTTAAAAAGATGCCAGCATGGAGCCAAATCAACAATGGACTTAGAAATGAGAAAGAAAAAAAAAAAAAACTTGGCAAAAACCCCCAAGTTGAATTGTATTGAAAATCTGTGGATTGACTTAAAAGTTGGCAATTCAGACACACTTAGCGTCCAACCTGATTGAGCTGAAGCTTTCTAGCAAAGACGAAATCCCAAAGCTCCAAGATAAAGAAGAAGAAGGCTCGGCTGGTTCAACGTCAATTTAAAAGAGATTTATTCTACATTTACAGCGCTTATAAAATATTTCTAGAAGTTTCCAGTTAGTGTTCATAGGACATTGTCTGTAGATTAAAAAAACAACACTATATACAATAAAAATTATATTGAAATGTTTGAACTTTTTCCCCTCACCTGGTTTCCACCCATGCCGTGACAGTTGAAAAAGCCAACTTTCTCGTTTTCCTTTCTTCCCATGTTGTCCACACACTGGTTGGTCTCAACATTTCTGATCTTCAGGCAGGAATTAGAATGAAAAGAATTAGAAGTTACTTATTCTAACTTGAAATGTCCTTTCTGTCTCTACATTGGCAAATTTCATAACAACTCAATCTTCAAATCTCTAAACATTTATTATTGAATACGGTCAAACTGTTGGAAATCTTGTATTTCAACGCTTTTATAATACAAAGTTTACAAAGCTGACATAAGTAAACACTGAGTTTGTATTATTATATATTGTATTGTATTGTATTACTTGACAGTGCTCCAGGCTGCATGTCTTAACAGTAAAACAAATATTTTATTTTCAGTGCCAAACAGAAACCAGGTCCTGCTCAATATTTCCCATTAAACATTAATCATGTTTTTCTGTTAGTGTTCATGAATCATTTTCTTATTTATTGTAACTGTTTCAGTTCCTTTAACATTACACTCCAACTGAAAACAATGAACCTGTTAACAGACTAGATGATAAACAAAAACCTAATTGACAACTATATTTAAATAAGTTTTATATAAACATTTTCTTTTTTTCTTATTTAGTTTGTCAGTTTATACAAGAAATTTGAAGACATTACCTTGAACTCTGGGAAATTATGGAGCCTTTTTGACTATTTTCGACATTTTATAGACAAATGATTATTGAGAATGACATGTTAATCAAAATTCTTTATTATGTTTTTAAACTTTTAAAACTGAAATGGAGAAGTGATCTGGCTGCACAGCCTGAGTAACCCCTGCCAACACAGCTTCGACTGACTTTACAGTCAACTCAGCTTTCTACATTCACAGAGCTAAAGCTGAGCTGGCTCAATATGTCGCCTAAGCAACTTCTTATGCCTATCGTGCAGGAACAGAACAGAAAGTTCATAATTAAGTGATATAAAACCTAATGGTTCCAGCTGTTAAAGAAAGGCTGACTGTGTGTTATAGAGGATGAGAATCAGTCAGGAGGAGTCTGGTTTAGAGGAAGATGGGAGTTGAGATGCTACAGTGGCTATAGAGACCGAGAGAGAGAGAGAGAAAACCAGCTTGTGCTGCAGTACAGCAGAGCAGCACGATGAAAAAGATCCTCTCATCCGCAGCTGTATGAATGCAGGAGGATTACAAGCTCGCTTTGCCACGAGTTCTTCAACTGACATTACTTTTAAATGGCCTCCGTCTATCGTACAGGCAGCACACTGCATGTCAGCGCCGACTTTACCCCATGCTGCACTGCTGTCGTCACGGAGCCATGGGCATCAGCAGGCAAATTCAGGTCACTTCAAAAAATATTTTTCCTCTGGTGGGGGGAACTAACTCATAAAAACTGTATTATCTTGAAAAAAACAACCACTATGTATTCTCACATCTTAGCTGCAAATCATCACAGCTCCCATAATCCCCCTTTTAATTTTTTAGAGGAACTACTACTTATTCAGGTTTTTAGAAGAGGGAATTCATATTTTTATAATAAATGTGCTGGTTGACAATTTACAAATCTATCTGAAAGCGATTCTGAATGACGCTTTTTTGTGTTTTGAAATGAATCTTGGCACTACAACACAAAACTGTGCCATGGAAGTGTGTAGAATGAATACATGAGCCTTATCTCACCTACCCAGGATTCATAGCATAACTGTGTAAACATGTGACTGGGATCAATACTGACTGCACAATTCCCCTTGTTTATTTATCATACGAGTTCAATACCAACAGTTGGGGCTGTTTGTTTTTATCTTGTTTTGTTCAGCCTTTGCCGGATACTGAGATTTTCAAATTTACCTTGCAGCGATATTGTCTTTCTGAAAGCACAACCCAGAAGACACCCACAAGGACATATCTGACTGAATGCAGAGGGAGGTGGTGTATCTGCTGAGATCAGAGTACGAGAAAGCTCATACTTCACCAAGTGAGTAGTATCTTCTTGGGATCTGGGAGTCTGGGTAGACGTTCTCTAGATACCAGGAAAACGGCTTGCACTGCAAGGCCTCGCGGAGGGCTTTACGGGAAGAAACGTCCCCGTAGTCCACCCGCATCACGCCTGCAGACAAAATGCAAAGGCAAGGATTCAGCTATATGTATCCCTGAACAACATCAGTCAGTATTTACATTTCTTTGCTCTGCAGAAAAAAGAATGAGAACTGTTTTCGTGCACCAACCAATACTAAACACCAGAGGGACCCTTCACAAAAAACTTACAACTCTACCTGGGCTATGTGGGTGGTCATGGAAGGATTTCTGCAAAGAGGGCATGTGAGAAGTCAAATCCCATTAATACACATAGTGTATTGCTAAAGGTAAGGCACCTCCTTCAGATATGCAAAAATGCAGCAATTGTTGGAATATTGTGTGCCGTGATGTCTGTTATTTTAGCCAAATGGAAACCGCACGATGTATCAGCCTTGATGCAACTGAAGACTGAGGAAGGATTAGACAGCGACTGGGCACAGACACTTACAAACACATTAGGCAGATGGTTTCTCCCCAGAGTGCCTCGTAGCTTGCATGTAGATAGATCCATTAGGGTAATTTATCATGAAAGACCATGATTGCAATAAGAGAAAATAGAATACAATTTTCAAAAACCAGCTAACATGCAAGACTTACAGCACTAATTATCCATCAGACGCAAGGCAGACAATGCAAACACCACCTTCTGTAATACCAATGTCTTACACTTGTGTGAAATAGAAGTTTTAAGTTGGCAGATAAAAGCTATGAGCTGACGGCCACTCCCCCTGGCTCTCTATTTCCCTTTTCTCCCTCTCTCTGTAGGGTCTGCGCATCACATGCTGCAGATGATGAATAGCCTCTTTGATCTTGAAATCACCGGTGCAGAGGAGGGGACGAGGAAGGAGACGCACTTTTAATAGGATCACTAGATGCCACTCCCAAACTCGGTCTGCGAAACATACTGTGTTCCTCCGTGCCAATAAGTGAGGTCTGGCAGCAGCGTGGCCCAGATCATTCTCCCTAATGTCCTGGAGGAACAGACAGTCATTGTGGGGCCACAATACGCAGAAAGACTCATCCATCACAACCCCCCTGGCTCTGTCGGCACACCTGCCCGTGCAGAATCCTGTCTGACTGAAGGGAGGAGAAGGTCACAATTTGTGCCATAAGATCGGCAGATTACGGATGATCCCTTATAGGTTGGGCCGGCATCTAAAGCACTTAACCAGAGATTTCCGGGACACTGCTGTCTGCTAAAGGGTAATCACATTACTAAGTCGACAGATGGAGGGGTACTCATCTCTCAATCTGTGCAGTCGTATTGTTCCGGTTTGTCCGCATGTGTTTGAACTCTGCTGGGGACCATCTTTGACAAATTTCTGAACTCAAGTTTATGGGGGCACTAAAAATGCGTCTGAAAGTAGGAATTAATTAATCCCAGTTTGGAGATGACAAAAGCAGCATTAAATTCCAAGGTAAGACATATAAATTCTTAAAAGAGCAAGATAAAGTACCATGAAAGAGAATGAAAGAATAAAAGAGATTAGAAAGGATTTTCTTTTCATACCAATTTGCACATAAGTACTAAGGAGGGGTCTAGTCATGAGGATTGTTCATATCTGCTTTTGAACAGCGGTGCATGACGAATAAAACATCTATTAAAGTCCACACTGAACTATATATTCCCTAAAACTTGTAAAACATGTAGGATTCATGGCATTTTAGCATACTCATCGATGTGTGATTCTACTATTCCGACGGCAGAAAGATGTGGTCAAACAGTGGCACCACAACTCTGTACCTGGTGATATAATATAGAAGAAATCTTTAAAATCATCCATCCAGACTTCAGCCAGGCGCCTGTTGTTCTTGTTGATGACTTGGCCTGTTCCTCCAGGGAAGCTGTATGGGGTGGCCTTCCGGAAAACGTGGCCCACGTGCGAACATGTTACAATTTCCAATGAGCCACCGCACTGCCAGATCTGCAGACACAAACACACAATGTAGATTTATATAGTATGTGGCATGAAAGCAGACAAATACAGTCAATACAAAAAGGGATACAACGCTGGGTGGGTACCAGTACCCTTATTTGATCATTCTTCACTTCTTGATCCTCAGATAACCCAAAAATAAATCAGATCTGTCATCAGTAAGGACATTACAATGCTCTTTACTCTGCAAGCAAGGAGGCGTCCAGGAGGAGGCTTAAGCAAGGAAACAAGAGACCATCCTCACGTCACTCTTCTACAGAAAATCAGTTTGTCTTTGAAGCTGCATTGCCGCAACACAGCACTGTTGAACTGCCGTGTGCAGACAAACATAGCATTACCAATATGTAGATTTTATGTGTTTTCTCATTCAACATTTAGTTACAATAATAGTGGATACGTCTTAACTGTAGGCTTGATTAAGAAAAAGAAAGCTTACATTTATGATCCCGTTTAACCTGCAAAACCCCTAAAACAGTAAAAATAGACACAAATATTTAAAAGTGTTAAGAGACATTCTAATCATAATGGGGATGAGAGATACAGATATCTCATTTCAATAAGCATGTATTTTTGTTGTACCTTCTTTGCATCTTTTCCTTTAATCTCTGCCTTGAATCTCAAGTGTATTCAAAGAGAAGATGCAAGTGAAGAAACGTGGCTACAATAAAGGGAGTCGTATCCTTTAACATCAACGCTGACAAGATAACGTCATGATAGTGTCCTCCTGAGCCTGTCACTCACTCTAAAAGACATTTCCAGGTTCTCTCCACCCCAGATATCCATCCCTGGATCATAGCTTCCTATTTCTTCAAAGTACGTCTTGTCTATGGAGAATAATCCTCCTGCCATGGTGGGGGTCCTGCAAGAGACACATGAAAAAATTAAGACAAAAATCATTTTCTCTTTGTGCAGTATTTATTAGTATCTTTGTGTAACTCTGAGGAACATTCAGAATATAATAAAAGACCAATTTGTTTGACAATTTGAAACAAAGCCTTAGAGGGGTAATTACTTCTATCTTTTAATTCATTTTATGTTAAAGTCGGCCCCTAATTAAGGATATTGTTTGTTGCTGGGAGTGATTTGCATACAAATGACAAATTGTGCCTAGTTTTGTGTAGCCCCCCAAAAAATAAAGGCAACCGTGAACAGAGTTCCTATTTTTCTATTTTTAAATTAAATAAGCTCATACATACTTAACAGGGCACAAACACAACGATCAGGATGCTATTTAGGAAGTTGCATGTATCAGAGGGATGCACAGAGGAAAAGGATCTATTTCTATCTGCAGATAAAAATGGCACTTTTTATAGAGTTCTTGTGAAGAAATGTAATTATCCATATTTTCTTGGTGATGTACCCTGCCCTCATCACACATACACCCATTCTCAGCTCTGATGAAAAACATCTGTTTGAACATACAAAAAGTGTCTCTTCACCTTTTTGTGTAATTTCACCTCATCTCAGTTAATTATTAATCAAAAGACATTACACATAGTGTCACACATTCCCCTGAAAAACCATCTAGATTTAGCTTCAGAGGAGGAAGACATATTTTTGTTGTGTACCTAACAGGAAGTGTTCTGTCCCCCTTGCGTCGATCCATCTCCCGCTGGGGAACAGGGTACCAGCGGAAATTCAGCTTCCAGTTGAATCCACCATAGGTCATATCTGAGCCTGCCATGTATTCAAACGTCTCGTCGCTGATGACATCGATGATGGGGCACACCACTGCTGTCCTGAAAGACACGGGAAAAAAAAGTGTAAGATTCAGTGTGGAGATAAATTATCCTTGATAAAGATGAAACGGTGAAAGGTGAGGTGATTAATTTCATATTGAGAGAATACACACTCTGAATGAGAGCAAATCGTGTAATGATTAACCTTTCTAAATGTTTCTTTTTAAGTGCTAAAACACCTGCACTGCAACTAATGATTATTACTAATGTAATAATCAATAAGCAAAATTACTGCTGATCTTGTGTCAGGTTGATTGACTAACTAATTGTAGACAAAACACCATATTACATTATGTAGTTTAGTTACTTTATTATAAAATTATTATTACAAAAAATGCCATCTGCTTAGCATTTTGGTAAAATACTATTACTAATATACAAAACTACTAGTTTTGTTTGTAAGCAATATATTTTGGGGTAGGTTGGTATCTTAACAAATTATCTGTCCTTTTCCATAGTGCATATGATTTCAAATGTTTAATAAGCACTTTCAGTCACCTTTGAATTGAGGTAATATTTCCTACTGTTTTACTGTGAATTTAAAGTGTAATTGCATAAGGATAATATAGTAGTATTAGCATTAGCATTGTTGTGCATTTCATCAGAATGATCCTGATGAAGTACATCAATATCAATCAATACTGGTTAAAATGTTAATATCACAAACCTGATGTCAACCAGACCTCTCAGCCCTTCTTGGAATTTGCCAAAACAACCTGTATCATCAATCATGTGAATACTGTTTCCTGCACCATCTCATCAGTCTGCGCCCATCCTTACAGACACCAATACATCTGCAGCAGCATTCAGTGAAAGTGTAATGGCTCCATAATATAATATTCTGAGTCATATGATACTGATTTCTTCCTGAGGGAAAATGAATGTGTCTGACCTCAGATATGAGATGGATCGCAGGAGAATCATTATCAATCCATCCATCTGTTAATGCCACTCTCACAGACACGGCAGATACACCCTCTTTTGTTCTTTAATAAGTAAGTAAAAGCCTCAAACAAGAACTTAATGCTCTGATAAATAACAGCAACCGAATGAACACATTGTCACTTTAAATTAACACATTTGGCTTAACTGTACAAACACTCTAAATAGAAAAAATCATCCTTTGCCAAAACAAACAACAACAAAAAAACTGCCTGGCCACACGATACTCATCCCTAAACATGTATCTGTTGTAGCTAGTAAAACATGTTCTAGTCCACTTTTATCTTGACTTCACCAGCATCTACTAGCATCAGTTGTAGCGGAGTTAACACAAAAATAAAGCTACAGTAATTGGAGCTAGCTTTTCCTCTGAGGCAGAAGCAGACGATGCAGAATTATTATCTTCTCCTATCAGCAGTGTCAGGCTCAAGCAGTGTATTCATAACTGATGGTTTGCTGTCCCATCAATATTCAGATAGAGTTTTGGCTCAAGCACCCGATGATGCAACTTAAGTGAAATGTGATAATACCAGTATATTTAAAGCATGTTTCAGCACTGAAAAGACAAAAGATTAAAATGATTGATAATAAAAAGCTTATTGACACTGCTCCTAAAAAGTGAATCCATTTGTTTTTGTATATCAGCACCTTAAATATCAACATTACCTTCCACACATTCAGTGTGGTCCATTTTGCGGTCCTACCTGTCCTCTTTGATGCGTGCCAGCAGGGGCTCCAGCCAGCCGACAGTACACTCGCAGTGAGCGTCCAGGAAGGTGATGACCTGACCTTTGGTGGCAGCTGCCCCTCTCAACCTGGCTCTGATTAGACCGGAGCGCTGCTCCATCCTCAGGATCCTCACCGGCACCTCCAGAGTCCGCACATAGTTCTCCAGCTTCTTCTTCAGAAAGTCTGAAACGAAACAATGAACACATTTTGGCAAAGGTGCACTGGCAGAGTAATTTAACTCAACAGACCTGAAAGAATGAGTCGATTCCATCCGGTCCCAAACTTTTTCACATCAAGGACCCCTACAATAGATGCACATTAGACCACAGCCCCCCATTTTTAGGGGATTTTGTCCTAAGGAATCCCCTCTTGAGTTATTTTATTTTATTTTTAGGTTTAAAGATTTAACTTTACCATTTCTTCTCTTGTTGTCCAACTTCCAAAACATTTCACTATTTTATGATATTTTAGACCAAACGCTTCATCTACTGATCAAGAATATAATCAGCAGATTAATCAATAACAAAAACAATTGTTAGTTACAGCACAACGTCTAAATTTGGTGTATTTATTTTCATATGTTCTAAGAGTAAACATTGATATTACTGTAGTAAAAACTTTGCATTGTTTCTTATTATGCTACCAACTTTGGTGTCCCACATTTTTCACATTAATAATCAAAATGTACGTAGTGTATGTTTGACTGCAGAGTTAAACCTGCGTCTATCAGATACCTACAGTATGTAAGCTGCTTATTAGCTAGAGTGTAGATTACCAACCTCGCTCGCTGGCATCGTCAACAAGTACGATCTCCATGAGCAAGTGTCTGGGAGAGCGGTTGATGACACTGTGAACTGTCCGCAGCAGGGTGCTCCATGCCTCGTTGTGAAACACGATGACAATGCTGGTGTTTGGCACGTCATCAAAATACACCTTGGTCTTACAGCTGATGGAGCAAAAAAATTTAAATCAGTAAGGTAATGATTATTTAATTCTACAAAAAGTGAAAATAAAATCATTAGCAGTAGCTACATTAAACTTAACAATGGCTAATACCTGCACATAATCATTTGTGTCCTTTTACCTAAACCTTAAAACATACCAAGTCTAAATATGTTGGTCTCAAACTACAATGTTGTTTTCAAACTGCACTCACAGTGGTTCTCTACGCCTGCAGCTCATTATATTGTATGAAAAGTGTGTGAGAAGAGAATCTGAGTGTGTCCTGCTGCTATCCAATGCTGCCATCAGTGCAAAAACATTGTCATATGAGATTTACTGACAAATATCTCCAGAAATACAGAAAAAGTAAAACCAGTGTTGGCAGCTATGTCAGCACATCCTTGGCCTGACGGATTGTCTGTCAAAGCCAAAGAGCGAGAGCATGGCAAACTTAGGACGCCGCTGTAGTGGATTATGTTGAATAAAGAATGAGCTGCATTACAGAAGTGGAGGAGGTGGACGGCCAGGGCAGGAGGAGGCGGAAGTGGGAGGTGACGGAGGGTGAAAGAAGCCATCGACGGAGACAGAGTTGCTAGTTCAGTCCCGTCTATTCAAAGTGACAGCGCAGAGTGATGCAACTAGGCCAGGAGGTTGCCTTCAAGACAAAATGTTAGTGCCCTTCAGAGGCAACGGCTGACAATTCTGCATGGCTCTGGATAATTTTCACCACTAAGCTGGTGAAATCCTGCAAGGCGAAGGTGTTTTCTGTAATAAAGCTGCTGTAATATTTATATTGAGAAGGATGGACAGAAAAACTGGTGTAATCAGCTGAATGTTCACTTTTTCTCACTATTTTAGTCTTCTTTGCACTATGCAGGGGAAATAATATTTAATTTGCATTTCCACATTGCATAAAGTCTTGATTAGACATATTTTTTGGTATAGGCAAGAACAGCATGGAAAAACCTGGGAAAGTAGGTGTGAAAAAAGACATTCTTGTCACCTATTTGTCATGATGTATCTGACTGGCAGGGCCTTTGGTATCCACTTAATGAAAGTCCTCGTGTTCAGTTGGAATATTTAAGCATGAATCACTTAGATAGTCTCCACGAGAGGCGAATGCCGCTGCATATCAGCAGCCTGAGACGAATGCGCTCATGTTTCACACAAATTGCTCCTTGGATCTTCATTAAGTGCTCAAGTGGATCTTGAGTGACAGTAAACAAAACCCTACTCCCATTCACATGTCAGGCCTAATGTATACACTTGAGGGATCTGATGGATTCTGCATTGAAACAGTGCCCATAATTAGAGATGTCTTTTCACATTAGCTGAAGTTATTAATACCAATAAAATGTAATGGACTCAACAAACAGCTTAAAAGGGATTTTAATCATCAGAATAACGAAGTTTCGATAATTTAGAGCATTTCATCTGCAGTCAGTCTGCAACCCTGTTGAGACTCCTTTGACTCTTGCTGACCCATCAAACACATTTGTCTCAATACTGCAACAGTTTCTGGTGAACCTGGCATAAGTCTGCACACATTAAGGAATGAAAATATCCCCAAGAAATAAAGAAATAAAGAAGCAAAAAGCAGAAAGTATCAGCTGAGATGTCAGCTTTTTGATAAAGAAACCATAGCACCTTGAAATGTGTGATAGATATCAAAGGTACGTTTGCAGGCAGCGGAGGCGCGAGGTGAGGACTTGTGTTATGCTTCGCTGATGGAAAGTGGATGTGTGTGTGTGTGTGTGTGTGTGTGTGTGTGTGTGTGTGTGTGTGTGTGTAGGTGTTACAGGGTCAGTAGTGTGATTCACAGCATCGACTGGAAGACATCCAAGCTTACGCACCCATCCAACCTCACGTCCGGCAGACTCCTGTTGAGTGCAATCATGTCACTGGCCATCAGATTGAACTGGTTAATCTTAAAGAGCTCCTTCATTTTCTCTTGGTCGTCCTTGGGGATGTTCACTGCCTTGCCCATTTCCCCCGGACCCTCATGGCTCCGAGATATCACCGCTGTAACATAACAGAGGAAAAACGAAGAGGATATCTGATGAGGAATCAAACCCATTATAGTTTTTATTTCTCACTAAGGAGGTGAGCGATTAAGGTCAAACTGCAGTGTAAAATAAATCATTTTGTATACACAGTCTATTCTTGATAAGGAAACTCCTACAATATAAAAGCCCACTAAATTACAAATGCTCCACATCTCCTCTATAAATGGGACTGAGAGTAATGAGTACTGACTGACCTCCCTGACCCCAGTTTGTTGGCTGTGTGCCCTGTTCTAACCGGGGGGGGGGAGAAAGAGTTGTGGTGGTTTTTCAAGAACTCAATGAACAAAGAGAGCATAAGCTGAATAAATACATTACACATGTAGTGCTGGTTTGGCTACAAATTAAGCCTCAATGAAGGAAAATGATGTTGGAAATGTACTTCTTTGATCATTAATCAATATATAATTATTTCTGTTCTGAGAAAAAAAAAAGTGCGTCTCTAATCTTTTCCCTGGGTTTGTACTTAAAGCACTGGGTTGTTAGCTGTATACAATCTGTAGTGAACATCAAAGACACTGGGTTTATTATCTGTCTCTTAAAGCAGAGTGAGTGCAGCAAAGCGTGCTACTTCCATCTCTGCACACTCTGTAAAGTGTAATTGTAAACATAATTTTCCAGATCTGTGTGCATGAACCAAACAAAAAGCAATTAATGTATTGGTAGAATGTATACAGGAAGTGCACATATGAACAGTATATCATATTCCCCTTAATAACACTTAATAACACTGCACATACAGAAAATGTGATGCCATTCGCACTAGCACTATTAAAAAGATGTTGCCTCAAACATCAGTGTATGTGAAAAAGGCATTTAATACAGACGGATCAGACGCTCTGCTTAAGCGGTCTCCTGGTTGCTGTTGCTCGGGCTGAGTGGGTATTAAGCACTGCACTGGCAGCTATATTTAATTTTAATTTAATCTATTAGGCTGGTTTTGAATTCAGAGATTTGGGAGAACGTATTAATAGATGAAAAAGTAGTATGAAGGCAAAAATCCTTTCTAGAATTGCCATAGTTTTCTCTGCTATATGCTCCGACAGTCAAATGCCTGCAAAACATCAGCATTGCTGTTGTTGCTGATGCTGCCCAGAGGTAGCTCCCTTTACCAAAAGGTAAATAACCTCCCAAGGATTTATGACTATGCTCTCTCGCTCTCTCTCCCATAATAATCTCTCTGAACAGAGGCAGTGATTTCCATGAAAAAAGGACACACATTAGCTGCGAGGCCCCAGGTTAAGAGGATTCCCAACAACCCCTTGAGGAGGCCGGTGTCCGCTGGATTGTTAACCTCGACTGATTCTGCTCTTTTCTTTATGGTGCTGCTGATATTCTCCATTTGGACACTGGCTTAAATCTGATGGACACAGCTTGAGAGCTGAGCTGGATGATTGAACAAAGTGTCCGTCAAACACATGCTCAGCCTCTGCAATCCATCAGTCTATAGTATGGATGAACACAGTTTGTGCATTTTCTGGGAAAACAAACCATCAACACCAGTCTGATCACACCATCACTACAACATAAACAACTAATCCTATAGATTATTTATACTATATACACAATATTTTAACCTTACTGAAGTCAGATGTGAAAAACTGCAGAGAGCAGAATACTTTGTGAATTTTGTAGGGAGACAGTCCTCGGGCCTTGAAATAACAAGGTATTATAATAAATAACTGTCATTCCAAGTTTACCACTATATTTCTGGTCTCTTTGTTACAATCTGGATGATATAAGCATCTCAAATAATCAGATAAATTAGTATGTTTTAAGATTGGGTAAACCCATATGTAATACACAATGTAACTGTAGAATAATATGGTTCACATTTAAGATAGCAGAAGTTCATCTCAGTTAAAACTGCAGAAGCTACTGGAGGTTTTTTTTCAACCTATTATCCTTCCCTGTATAAAACCCTTCTATCCATGCTAACGTGAGCTGTGTTGCTCTAGGGATTGCAATGTCAGTCCACCGGCTGGACCGGACTGAAAGATCTCAACAACGATTACATCTAAAGCTAATTAGCAAATTGAGCACAGCTTTAGTTCAGACAGGCCTCAAAGTCAAGCTCAACTCACAATCCCAGCTGCTGCTGCTGCTCTCAAAGTCAGATTTCATTCTATGCATTCAATTGGCAAATCTCATACAGGATGCTTTATTTTCAACTGCTTCAGCCAGTCTACCCTTGCCACTTTGCAACACGCCTCCACCCCAGCTCCCCCTTTTTATGCTGTGTCTGATTGAATCAGTGTCATCTCTGTTGTCACTGATGCTTGCTCTGTTCTGTACCCTACGGGGAGGGTCTTTGCTGCCACTCTCAATGAAGGACAGGGAGGTCCCAGAATAGAGCCATACCACCAAATATAACTTAATGCAGATGGAAATGAAGTTTTCTTTACCTAAGGGTTAAAGAAAGTTTCTTTCTAAACTAAGATGGTTAACACTATACTAAACATCACCATGTTAGCATTGTAACTGTGAGCATGAGCATTTGGCTCAAAGCACAGCCAAAGCTGCTGCAGACTCTTAAGTTTAGTTTCAACTAGAACATGTATTATTTTAGGCTTTCAGCCATGGTGGAATTTAACTGAATACATTTATTCAAGTATTGTACTTAAATACAATTTTGATAGACTTTGTTACATTTTCATTTTTTGCTACTCCACTATATTTCAGTGGGAATTTTTGTATTTTTTACTGCTCATACATTTTTTAATACTTACACTTACTAGTAGCTTTTTTAAAAGATGGTTTTTGGGCATTTCTTCTTTATTTGTAATAGTTGGATAGCCGGAGAGAGACAGGAAAGCTAGGGGAGAGAGGGGGGCTGTTGTACAGCAAAGTGCCTCGGGCTGGAATCAAACCCAGGCCACTACCTTAGCACATGGGGTGCATGCTCTACCAGTTCCTTTTGACATAAAAATATATAATATGCAGCACCATACTACTAATCTACCCAGGGATATACAAAGTATCTAAAAGTGACGATGTTATTTTTCTTATAAAAGCTTATTACACCATGTTTGAAGAGACTTTTATATGTGTTTAGTACATGTCTCATAACTGCAAGTTATCTTTTTTTCCACCCTGGGGGCCTAAAATAAAATAGAATAAAAAACAATCAGGATATATAAGTCTGAAAACACTCACATAAAACTGGTTCTGCTCAGCAACATACAGATCAGAGGAGCCTTAGGAAACAAACTCTCTATATACTCTGTATTTTCAAGCCTTACACACTCGCCTCCTGACACAGAGCATTCATTATAAAAGATGACCACGATCATCTGGGAAGAAAACAGTGGCTCTGTCTGTCCTCGGGTCAATCAATCTAATTCAATGTCCCTGCCTGCAGCTTTATCCCAAGCAATTACAGTGGAAAGGTTCGCCTCACACTCTCTGGTAATGAGTCTTCTGAGACACGATCACTCAAATTTCAATGTTGAACAAAAATAAAGTGCCACATGTCTCACTGTCTACCTGTTCGTTATGTGATTAGCAACTCTAGACTCTCTAAATACACACCTGCTATATGTTAGCCTTTCTAGTAGATTGCATTATTGAAATGAAATAAACTGATACTGTGAGAGCTTGTCAAGTTGGACTCTATAATCTGCATGCAGATTGAAAACCCAAGCCTTTCATCCATTCATTTGCTTTGCAGGAAAAAGGGCTGTGTAGTAGTGCACAGTTCTGGAGTCTCTATCACAAGCTTGATCCATCCTCCACGCTTTACCTCCACCTCTTCTCTCTGCTGCTCCACTCTGCTTACTGCCTGTGAGTCTGACCCAGCTGCAGTACATTATATATCAGAGAAGCTCCTGTTGAACACAAAACCACAACAGAGCAGGACCAAACACCCTGCACAGTACTACTCGGCCCTTATGTGCACCGGCACCCTAGACTCACAGGCCAGTCTCTAAATGCTTCGCTCCATAGAGACCGAGGACTTTCTCCTGGCTTTCTTTGCTGAAACTGGATGGAAACAGTTAAGAGAGTTTTAAAAAACCGGCATTTCAGAACCACTCCAAAGCTTTCAGGGTGGTGACATGCGGAAGTCGTATGCTTATAAACACTGTTGTAACATGTAACGCTGCTTGGGACATCCATTTACAATGTTTTAAAAAGCTCTCTCTCTGTGTTGGTTGCACTGCGGAGGAGAATGGGGGAAGAGCACTCTCAGGTAAGGCGTGTCGCTTGGTAGGCTCTGTGATCTCTGATCCTCTGGTATCACAAGGCTACCATCACCCTGAATTCAACATACTTTCTTAAATTTTTTATATGAAAACCAACTGGAGTGATGCTCACACAAGGAATAAAGATTTAAGGCACTTAGGATCTGACATTTATGTGCAATACCTGCAAAGATTTGAGTTTCCTGAAAATGATAAGCTTCCTGTGTGAGTGGAGGATGGTCTATAAACAGTAATTCACACAGAATAATATTTTTGTTTTCTGACAGCTAAAAGTGGGATTCTGCAAGATTTTCAATTTAGTTCCTTGTGCTATCAATGCAAAATGTTAATGAACTACATCTCTCTATCCTACAAACAGACAGATATCTGAATGACAGAAGCATGAAAAATAAATGAAATAAATGTACTTATAAATAAAGGTGCTTATTTGTTCTCACTGTTAATCATTTCCATTTTTAATGGATATGCTTGCGAGGAGTAATATTGCATTGATTGAAGTTAAATTCTGTTCAGGATGAAAAACACTATATGTATATATGTACTGCAATACTAAATATAATAGCAGTAATTTACACCAGATATGCACTGCAGTCCATAAGTGACAGCGCCAACCATCACTGAATTATATTTAATTTTCAAAAATATCACGTGTGACACATAGCTTTGCCTTGTGATACTCAGCCTCTGTGAGGGGCTGATTGCGGTTACAAAAAAGAAACCATGTTCTACTTTATTTTTCTGTGTGCTTTAAGGTAGTGGTTCTCAACCTCAACCTGGGGTCCGAGAACCCCCAGGGGTCCTTGAAAGGGTCCCCAGAAAAATGGGTAATATTATAATTTCACTATTATTTCACTGTTAAAAGGCTCGCCCAATGAGAAAATGCTTAAGCATGACTGCTTTGCTCATAGCTATCACATTTTAATTTAATCTCCATAAACCAGTCAACCGATCATTTTCAATCAATTGATCTGCTGATAGTCTTTATTTTTCTAAATACACAGGAACTGATTGTTGAAAAAATCTAATGAATGTGAAGCCTTAAAGAACTGAGTTTAAAAATATATTTAACTGCTCTTCTCGAGCTGATGTTTCTACAAAGAGTGAATTTTTATACAAAATTCAGTCACTGGTGGAAATCAAAACCCAACTCCAAAGAGAACCAACCAGTAAATTTAGTGTGTAAATCTATCTTAAACCGTGTCTATATTAAAAAGGAAACTCCACTTTTGTCCCTCTGTAGAGAGCTTGTCGGATACATTTCGTGCGTATAATGGCGTCGCCAAGGGTTATCTCAGATTGTGACTAAGATAAGAAACAACGTGCTTTTTATACAAACTGTCTGCGTAGAGTTTGAAAGCTTCTATTAAGTAAAGGGAAGTTTAGGATCAAGTTTTTTGGGGGGGGTTTGACCCATATCAGGACTAACTGTGAGGATAACTCAGTCTTTGCTTTTCCTTTTTTTGACTGGAGCCAAAAGCTTTAGGGTTATTTGTTTAAGCACTGGAGCGCACCTATGGCACGCATGGTTAAGTTGTGGCTCGTTTCCAAGGTTATGTAACCACTGTTCCCACAGTGGCAAGTTTACATACATTAGTCTGCTATAATTGACCTCATGATCTAATATGCCAGGCTATGAAAATAAGGCTAAGCAAGCTTTTATTTCCTGCAGGCATTGTGGATGAGCTGCCCAAGTTTAACAGGCTGGCTCTGTAATGAATCACAAATAAAGAAACCGTCAGAAGAGTGAATGATGAATGTAAGGATGTTTTGCAGCCTCTTCATCTTTACTAGTTATTGTTAGATAGCTATACACTGGAGAAAATATAATTCGCACAAAGGCTGCAGCTACCAGCAACTTCTAAGATAAGTTCAGCCACATACTAGGTTTCAAGACAACCGTGATTATCTGTCCCTCCCAAGTCCACCACCATTATGGAAGTGCAATACTAAATGACTATATTATATTTTATAAGTCATAATGTGGTGCAAAAAAGAACAGAGGAATGCACATTCATGCTGTAGACAAATACATGTGGTTACGTGGGTCTAACATCCTTCCTTTACATGTTACCATACAGCACCACTCCAAACAACTTTACTGTAGTATGTCAAGCAAACATAAAATCATAATAAACATAATGGACAGGAGCCATAAAGCTCATCATGGTTAAACTAGAAAGCCTGCTCTAATCAGGAATTTAAAGCGGTCATTGTCAACTTGGTAATGACCAGTGTGAGATTATGGAGTAGACCATCCCGTCACACTGCAAGTCATACTACTGTAAGCACGTCACATGTGATATAACATTATAATATAATATTGCCATAATATTAGAAATATATAATATATATAATACAGAGGAGGCGAGAGCTTATCAGGGTGCTGACAAAAGTAAGCTATCATGGCTGTCAGTTCATACCTCAAGCACGGGCGAACATTTTGTATTTCAGATGACTTGCTCCCTTTCCTCTTTCGCCTGAACTGTACAGCACACAAAACATAATTTTTGTCCATACGAACACATTTTGTACTCTGTAGATATTGCTCCCCCTCCCCCCAGTTTAAGCTTTATGTAAGTATAGAAAAACTGCAAAAACAACAGAATTACTGGCCGAGATACTTGTGACTACTGCTTAGCTGTTGTTTCAGAACCACGGACAGCGCTGAGCGAGAGAGAGGAGCTGTTTCTGCTGATTTTGACAGAATCGTTCGTAACTAAATAACTAAAAATATTTAGCAATCTGTTAGTGCTACGTTCTTATGTGAGTGCTCTGATTAATAAATATATTATTTAGCCTTAGGGCTTGTGTATAGCATTTTTCTCTCTCACCGCATAAGCGATTCATCCCATTTCAGCCTTTCTGAGGCTATTGTGTGGTTAATTCAATACATTTTATTTTATGAAAACAATTGCCACCATTTCTTATTTATGGGGGGGAGGGGTGGCTCGTTATTGACAGGACAGCTCAAGCGGGAAAAGGAGGAGAGAGAGAGACGGGACTACACGCAGCAAAGGGCCAATACAGTCAAGGAAAACCAGCATCTGAAAACAACGTCAACACAGTTCATATATTTAGCATATTTCAGCTATTTTATAAGCTAACTCCAATGTAACAGCATACTTTTGTGTGGTAATCAGTCTCAGTAGCAGGCAGCTCTAACCTTAAAAGCAGCTTAGCAAGCCTCTTAGAAACACGCTTACTGCAGAGCATGTGAGGAAATGAACTCAGCTAAGGAGGTACTGTACTTTACGTTGATCTCAGAAACATTCACACACAAACGCACACATGGAGATTGTGTCAAAATTACAGCACACACTAAATTAAGTAAATCTTTAACATTCCTGTCACATTAGGCTGGTAGAGATTCATCACTTCACAAAATCAAAGTGTTTTTGCATTGTTGTAGATCAATAATCAAACATTAGTTTAGTTAGTTAGTTATTGTCAACTATTTAAAATAATATATCTTTGCTGATTTATTAACATGCTTTTCTGACCTTTCAGGCAAATGATGATGAAGATTAAGTTAAACATCCTGGTGAAATGATCGCTTTAAGTCTACAGCTTATGTTTTCAAGCTTGTTTGCCTCATGCCAAACCAGAAGTCGATTCTACTGAATATCAAATGCAGAAACCCAAAACAAGAAAAAGGGGGAATTACATTTTAATTATTAATAACATTCAATAATCCTACAACTTCTTTCTAAAGATGTTGTCTTGAATTCCTAAGGAGGAAATACACCATACGTTCCCAGATGAACGTGGTGGTTTTTAATGCGTGCTGTGTGTGATACTAGTGTTGAAACCTATTCTACTCCACATACAAAAATCTGAAAGAAAAACTAAATCAAAGCGCCATTTTATGTCATTCTAAATAAACATTACTGTAGTTGAGATTTTCAAAACACAAAGTTGTATAAGGAGAGAAATCTCATTTTGCCTACTGCAAAACACACTCTGCACTAATCACTTCACAGTTATTAATAACTACCCTGTATCTGTATCAGCTTGTGATAATAAAAAAAAAATTATAAATAAAAATCAATCCGCATTTACAGCTGCGTTAGCACACAATGGTATATTTACCTTGGCATAAATAGACATGTCATTTACTGTGATGAGTTTTACAGCATAGTTTAAAGATGTCAGATGTACAGTCTGTACAGTACAGGCAGAAACATAAAGTGGTTTGTTCATTGCCAAAACAAACCCTCATGTGAACATGATTTTAGGAGTTCAAATACCAAACACTTAAATATGTTTATTAAAGGTATTATTATAACTTTATTTCATTTTGGAAATGTAACTAAAAAAAAATTATTACATATTCAAAAAGCTTTTGTGAGCTCCCTTCAACACATCAATAATGGAACTGTAATTGATTTTCTCCTCCTCTTAAAGATCTGCTAAAGCCCTTGAAATCCCAAAATTAACATTTTAACTTCACTCACTGTAATACTTCATATTTCAATAGAAAATTCTGAAAACTTACATCAAAACTAAAAAAGGTAAACATGAAAGGGAGAGGGGAATAAAGCCCATAATCAATCCCTGAAAACCTTAAACCCTGTCACACCTAATCTGTGAATTAACAGTGAAGCAGCAGTGGTGCAGACTCACCTCGGAGGGCAGGGAGCAGCGAGCGGTCTTTCCGATCATCACATTTGTTACACTCGCTGAAATAGAGCAGCAAGAACACGTCCACCAGCACCCACACTAAAGAGGTGGTCAACACCACCTTACAGTAGATAAACCGTCGCATCACCTCTCCGGGACGTCAGCCAAACAGTGCTCAGGAGCGCTCAGTCTGCTGATTTGGCGTTTGAACTCTGGAGACGAGGTGAGGAAACAGGGAGGAGACCAAGCAGGTTTGACCAAGAGGCGTCATCCTGCCGGAGAGGGGAAAAAAGACAGAACAGGAGTCATTAGAATTGTTTCAGTTTCCCTGCTGTGATCTGAGATGAAAATCAATCAAATGATCTAAAACAATCAACTTATGAAGAAACGTGTCAGCAAAAATCCGTGAGCAACCGCATTTAAAATAGATCAATATTTCTCTCTGGTAAAAGTGATTAGTAATCACCTTCTCCAGAATTCATTCATTTTCAGCCGATAAGGTAACCAATAACTTCCTGCTTCCCATGGCCAATACCAATAAAATAACCGATCACTGCTGTATTTCTAAAAGAAGTTGATAACCTTTAGTTTTCACACGCTTGATGGCAAGAAAGGCTTAGATGTAGTGAGCCAAGATGGATTATTTAATATTCCATAGCTCAAATCTAACATCACTATAATTTATCAGCAGTAATTGAATTATCCCAATAATTCATAATAATATACATTTCTTATTATAAGTGGATAATTACCGCACCGGTAATTATTGTGCATCCCTAATATTAGTGTAATGTCACATTACACAAAAGGTAAAATAAATTAGGCTGATTTAGGAGAGTGAACTTTAGATTATGAGTTAGACTTGTTATACATGTGCATCTGAGTATGTTAATGGGAGAGGAGGGAGAAGAAAAAAAGGAGACAGAAAGAGGTAGAAGAGACCTATACTGGATTTTTGCAGTATTTGAGAGTATGAAAATCTGATAATGAGATGTCCTGGTGCCTTAGGGGTTAAAGGTTAAGGGTCATATTTGGCAGATCTATCGGCCAGAGATCCCCATTGGAAAACAATCATCTTAAAATCCAGCGTTTCCTCTATCAGTTACATTCATTAAGCCATAGCGGGTGGCTAACTCAGTTTGTAGTGCCACAGTAATCTCTGGCATCATGTTACCTCACATAAAAATGGCCCCAGTGAGTTCCACTGCAGGGAGGTAAGCAAGTTTGAGGAAAAGAGAGCACTGGTCTCAGATCAGAAATCAGAATGAGCAGATATCCTGAACTGAGGTATCAGAAGATCAGGAGGACAAAAAGTTGGATCAGTACATACTAAGAGGAACAGTCTACATATATATCTTTGGCATTTTGTGTACTGCAGTTGTGAACATACCAATACCTATCTGTGATAAACTAATAATGTGAGTCTATATATTGGCCATGGTGATTTATCGGTCAAGCTCTAAAATACACACTGGTGCTGCACGATTAATCAAAACATTATCAAAGCTGCAATATGGCCAAGAGCAATATTCAAATTACAGAAGCTGCTTTTTTTTAGATAAAAGGTAAAATCTGTGACTAAACAGCAGTATAATGAAGTAGTGTGGTGTTGCAGACATGCTCTGCCCTACAAATCCTGCTCTCCAGATCCAAACAAATGGCACATCATCATAATTTTAATAGTTTTTTTCACTGAAAATGAAAAACCCCATCCGATTAATGATCTTAAACGCTTCTTTTTTCCTATAATGAGACAAACTACAAAAGACACCACATCTTTGGCGATGTCTGACTTATCATCGGGGCCCGTTCTTCTCATATCGGATACTATGGGAAAATAACTCTACATGTTCTGTGTAGAAGAGTGTCTTGGGGCTTGTTGAGTCCTTCGCAGCTGTGTATCTACGCATCTATTACATCTGATGTTTAAACTTACGACTGAGTAATTTTTTTGCATTGTTTTAAACATTAATTTGAATTAAATCGATTTATCACCCAGCTCTAACTGAAACTTGGGTCTGCAAAGGTCTTTCTCCAGCCAATAAAGGGATGCTGAGGTCCACCACAGGTTTTTTCTTCTCCTTTTTTCTTTCTTTAATAGACTTTTCTTCTCTTTTCTGTATTTTTAAAACAGGGTTTAACGGGTGTCATTGCCTTCGGTCGGACACAGACCTTCATAAAAGGGTCTGGTCACACACCCAATTTCCCACGTTGGACTGACCCCAGACCCTCCACATTACTTCGCTTGAAAGGATGAATGAATGCTAATTTCCCCTTTACAGCCTTCTCCCACTTTCTACGTGAGTAGTGCTGCTACGACCATCTGGGAAGCTTTCATTCCAGAGGCAATTTGTGGAGGTTAGATATCTCATTGGCATGGAATGTATGCCTCACAACATTTCTGATGAAAAACAACATCGTTTTCCGTCGAACAGGATTTCTACTTGACTGAAATTATAGTTTTTTTGTTGACTGAAAGGCTTATGAATGTATAATCAGAATGGAAGTCGTATGATGACAAAAATGCTTCCAGCTATCAAAAAAATCTAACACACAAACACCCGGTAGCCTTTTAGACATTCAAACATAAGCCACAATACGTCACACAGTGTAGTAAATTTCCATTGCTCGTGCTCAAAATGTAACAGTATATTAAAAATAGGTTTGGGCATTTGATTGCAAATGCATGTATGCATAATAACTTAGCCTACCCTTTACTTTTACAACTAGTGGAAAATGCCTGCAGCATCTCCTGTGGCGAATCTGACAGATTTCCTTATCTTTCACTTGCAGCGTGGTAATGATTTTGCACTTCACACACACACATTGTCCTCTCCACTCCCTGTCTAAATGTCCATCAGAGGGTCTGACACCGCTGCCCTGGGCTAATTCTTATCTCATTCAAAAACAAGGCAGCCTCTGTCCAGCTGCATGAAGCTGCAGCGCGGCGGACGATTTCAGACAGACACAAGTCAAACACCATTCGCTGACTCCTAACCCGAGTAGATGGACACCATCTAGACTTCAAGATAATGAGTGTAATCAACAAAATGGTCTCAGTAAAACTGAACTGCTGCAAGTATGTATGTAGCATATCACCTACCCTCACATCATAGACAGACCAATGATGATTCTGACTGTTTCCATCTTTAACCATCTGCTTTGGTGCATCAGTGGCAGACACATGTTTGGGTTTGGTACTACCAACCGCGCTACACCGGCAGGTGGCTGGAGTCTCCTCTGGTGAAGCCTGAGTCAATCAGCTTCACCATCTGCACAGATGAATATATTTCTTGTCTGCTGTGCATGGTGCGAAAAAAACAGGTCCGCCCCCCAGTCTTTACAAACCACTTTTTTTTGTAAACCATCAGGCGCTATTAACTGCTTCTTGATGTGACAGCTAATTGTGTTGTTAGCAACACTCTTTGTTGTGAAATGTCTGGTGCGGCGTTATGAGCTAATTTATGTATCCCTCATCCATTCAAAAAGGAGAGCTCCTACTGTATGCAACTGCCAGACCGTTAACTAATTTCTGTCAGCAGTAATACAACTGATTGAGCTCAACACTTGACACCGGAACCACACTCGTATGTGGTCAAGCCAGATTTCTGCTGTTGGCAATTGAGGCATTGACTGCGATTGAAGTGCCTTGCTCATGGGTGCTCCAAGGGTAGAAGATGGGAGAGAGAAATTCAAATGCTCCTGCATCTGCAACATCGATACTTTTTGAGTGCACAACAACGTGAATGACTGGTCAACATGTACAACATATAAAATACTGACATCTTTTTTTAAATATATAAATAAATATATATATTTCTCAACTAAAAGACTGCAAAAACATTGTTTTGGTCCCAGTAGTGAAACTCAGGTATTAGGACTGGCACCAGTATAAAAAAATGCAGCTCTACACCCAACCCTACCAGGAACAGGAGGTAATTATAGAGCTGATCCCAATAAGCCCGTTAGGCCAGTGTATGTAGCTTCTTTTATCACCCAAACAACACAGAAACATTACACTACTCTCATCCACATCCATTCATGTGCACGTACAATACATATTGACTTTATTCTATTAATAGTGGGATGTGACAGGAGTAAGATGGGAGAGCACTGTAACAAGAGCCACTAAACACGGTAACCTTGCATTTATATAATATAAAATCATAAACGCCGTCATTAAATGTCGTGCAAAGGAATAAGACCGTGACATTGTTTGCCTAATGAAGGATTGAGGATATTCTGCTTACCTAAATTATGGATGGAGTGAACCAGTGACCTGTTCCAGCCTCGCTCTCAGGCAACGTGTTGAACGCAGACAACATGAACCCGACGTACAGCACAATTATAGGCTAAAAATTAAACTGGATAAATTGGTCCTGTAAACGCGCAACGTCTCTAAACGACACCCAAGTTACACAGTTCATCTCAATACAGAGTAGTCCGAAACCCCGTGTGATAGTGTCCGTCCAGTAATGCCTCTCTCTCATAGTACCTGTTTAGACTCCTTGATATGGTTTGTCCCCAGTTGAGCCACAGTAAACCGATGAACACTAAGCAGTCTCCATTAAATTCCCCCATTCGTTTTAATGTCGATGCGGTCAATGCCACACGCGCCCTGGCACGCACCTGTTCTCCGACTGAATATTATAACGGTAAGAGAGGACAGGCGAGATAACATTCAGCACAATCTAACCTCGGCTCAGACCGACCTCCTGCAAATGGCTCGGTTCTCCGCTCTGATTGGTCGAAAGCGACGTCACTCATGGTATCCTCTTGACTGTGGAGCGTCACGGGCGTCTGGTAAATGTAGGCGCGTGCACCACCGCCACATAATAGTGATTAGGGCTGCGATTTTACTGTAACACTTGATTGTACCAAATAATGTCTTTTTTCCAGTTACATTTATTACATTTTGTGGTTGTTTCCTATGTATTCCACGCGAAAATGCGTAAAAAAGTTTAATTATTTTGTCAGGGGAGGCAAAATAATTATGTTGTTGTTTGTTTTAAATCGTTATTTCTGAATGAAAAACACAGACTCCCATGATAGCCTACTCATCAGGTAAGGCTCCTTGTCTCAAAATTGCCTTTCAATTGAATATACACATTTAGTTTCAGTTTACAGCTTTCTCAAATGTTTACATTTTAGTATTTTTAGTTGTTGTGGATGAGATTAATCCAGAAAATGTAAATAATGTTAATATTTTACAGCTGTAGTTTGCTTGTCATTTAGCTAAAGTTGGCTATAACACAGTAATAACATCATATACCCTCAAGACTAAATACTAAATGAGTAATTTCTGTAATAAAAACATTGAGTGTATTTTTATTGATGCAGTTGAATAACATACTTGTCAGATTTGTTAAAATACTCTACGTCATTTCCCAATTTTACCTCAAACCCCGGAGTCTTCACACTGTTGACTAAAAGAAGTAGGTTAAAGTTACTTTGAAGTAATTCACAGCCAGGCAGTGGTTAAATAAACACTTTAATCAACAGCTTAAATTAAACACACCTTTGTGTGCATGTGCGTATGTGTCTATGGGCCAATTCATTTAAATTGACCCAAAGTTGTCTACATCACAGCTATTTTAGGGCAGACCTTAACTGACTCAGGTTGAACAATGCTGCCATCTGCTGCTATTGGTGAGAGGCCTTTAGCATTGCACAGGCCTCTGGGCAATGTAGTAGATCAAATCTAAGCCCAGTATTATATTAACATACAGCACTTCATGATAACTCTGATGTTCTATCAATGACGCACTGTCACAGACTGTAAACTGCTTTTTTATTTGAAGTTTTTATTGTTTACATTCAATTGAACGCCACCGTAATGCAACAGCTGACAAATATGCTGTAGTGGTGCACTGTGAGATAAATCTGACCTCCATTCATAAATGCACATTTGGTATGCAGATAAAACAAACATTGCCTTCAGATTTAAAACATCCACTAGATGTCAGTGCATGTCCTGGTTCCTCTTTGTTCCAGTGAGGGAGTTTATGTCTTGGCTTTGTGCAGCAGGTTGGAAAATTGGGAGAGAAAAAAACATTTGAGTAATGAACTTCCACTTCCACTTCTACTTGTTTTTATATTGGGTTGAAATTAGTTATTAAATTAGTAATTATGACATGTTTACCACCAACGTCTGAAGGACGTCTTCTCTGCTGTTGTCGTTCAGCCCTTTTTAATTACTTGTTTAGTAGTTGTTGCCTCCACATTTTACACAGAAGACATGTTTGACATGTCATAGTAGGAAAACCACAGGATAGGCTGAATTCTATTTAGCTGTTTCGGTTTCTGGGTCCTGGTATTGTTCATGCTGACTCACTGTCACGCTGCCATGCCTCACTGAATAGAACTGAGCCACTGTTAGTTTATTTATTAATAAAAAGTCCACAAAAGAGGAGTGAAAATGTCTTTTTAATTTATTGGTTTCTTTTTAATAGTATTATATTTATATAATATTTGTTATTGTTGTTAATATTTGTGTTTATATAATTTGTAAATCTGTAAATAATTGAGTAATTATATTTTGCTAGTGTAAACACACACACACACACACACACACACACACACACACACACACGCACACACACACTCGGCAAAGTATTTGTTTTCTGATATTTTCTTGATTTTATGAATTCTGATGTTTGTTTGTTTTTCTTTTTACTCTATATTTTCTTAATGCGTTGCCAATATTGTCTTTGTTACACTCCTGCCAATAAAGCAAATTGAATTTAACTGAATTTAACATAGCGAGATTGTGTGTCTGTTCTTAATATTTTTAAGGAATGGTGATTTAATGTGATTTAAAAACGTAATTAAATTCAGATAGGATTTGTTGCAGGATTCCTCCTTTTTCCTCTTGTAGTGGGCTGCATATTGTTAATGTGTAAACCATATCAATGGTGTAAACACTGATAACTCAAACACATGCACACATTAACGCATGCATACACACACCAACACACATTCATAATACACACAGAGAACATAATGTACTACACAGTACTGTACATGCTTTAGTGCACATGGACATTGGTGACACGCATGCGGTCTGGTCGTATGGGGGCGCTCTTGCTGTTCTTGTCCCGCCACTCGAGCGCTTTAACGCAGGCAGGTAGAGTCTGGCTATTTAACCGCGGGTTGGTGGATTCATTCCGCTCTGAAACTGGCTACTGAACACATGAAATCTCCAGTAATGCGATGCCAAAGCAGCTTGTTAAACTCCAGAAGAGCGCTGTCTGACCTGACGGAACTTCTTCTTCAATTCAGCGCTTCATCATCTTCACTTTCCACTTGATGATAATCTCTCTGGGGGGCTCGTTTGTGCCAAGCGCGTCTTCTTTTTTTCTTTTTTTCTTTTTACATCTCTCGCAACCAAAGTTTGATTTTCAAGAAAAGTGGAAATGAATAACACCGGGTTCAACCAAACGGAGGGCGGGCTGCTCAACAAGACAGAGGAGTTTTTCTGCTGCAACTTTTCATCCGTGGTGACTGATAACGGCTTTGTGGCCGCCGCTCCGGATGAGAGAAGCCTCTTCATCATGAGGGTGGTCCAGATAGCCGTCATGTGTGTTTTGTCCCTCACGGTGGTGTTCGGCATATTTTTCTTGGGTTGCAACCTTCTCATAAAGTCAGAGGGGATGATTAACTTTTTAGTAACGGACAGGAGACCGTCCAAAGAAACGGAGGCAGTCATTGTTGGAGCCTACTGACTGACGAGGACCTTTATATTATGATTTGAATCAGATCTGAAGTCTGCTGGAGGCAGATGAGAGACGATGATCAACTGCCCAAATAAAACCCTGTTTTCATATTGGTATTTAGAAAAAACCTCGCTGGAGGTAACTAAACCCTCAGTGGTGACTGAGGCTTCACCTTATTTCTTGTGGCTTTTTTTAATGCCAACAAAGACTCATCTCCAAGAGGTATAGAGCGTTTTAAGCCTCTTTGTTTATAAAGTATTCAGTCAAGCACTCTTGTAATTTCAGTAGTTGGAGCACCGTTTGTCAAGCAGCATCCTCTTGTCATGTAAGTGGCAAAGTCTGCATATTTGCTGCTTAGAAATACCCTCTCATATTGCCAATGCAATGGAGAAATTAATGTAAAACATGTACTGTATGTTGTATGTGTTTTTGCATACAATATGCAATATATTAATGTAAGTGTATTTCTCTGGATTTCCTGGTGATAACTGTATGAGTGTCTGCGTGGGCGGTGAAGAGAGCCCAGCACGCCCTGTATCTTGTTAATTGGAATAAATTAATTCTGTAATTAAAGTTTTCCTCCTAATTAAGGTCTATCTTCCCTCTCTTTCAAAGTAATTTAGATTTCAGAAACTAAAATTACATGCTTTAAAATTCCCAAAGAGCTGTTGAATTAAGATGTAAGGTAAATTATGGTAATTATATAAAGATCATGTTGATAAGACAGAATGTAGGTTATTAGTGAATTCATTTATTTTAAATTGACATCAAGAAATGTATTTTCTCTGGCATACATGTGAGGAGTGTTGAATGGAGTGTTTGCTTTTTCCAGTTAAAATCTAAATGTTAATTCAATTCACTCCACTGAAAATAATTTATTTTATTTTAGCTACTCGAAATTTATTATCTGAGGGTGTAGAGTAAAAACGTGAGTTTTTTTGTCTGGGTCAGATTATGATCCATGCATTCTTTCTCCCTCCATCAAAGCATCTGTTGTGTTGCACTCCAGGCTCACCTGGATGCCAGCTCCCCAGGGTGAAACCAGCAGCTTCAGAAATGACTTGTCATGTCAACCCGGGGAGGATGAAGCCACCGGGCAATATGCTGCTGTCTGATTGCCCACCTGTGCTCCACATGCAGAGTTAAATAGTTTGAATCCTCCTTTTCTAAAAACGTCCTTCACCTCACTTTCTCCCTCCTCCTGTTCTCCATGTGTCCTGCTTGACGAAGCCTTATTCTGTCTGATTATGGATGGCTGCAGCTTGTCAGGAAACACTGACCTCTGTCTTAGGCCACACACTTGATGTCCTCATGTTGGATTTAGAAGAAATCGATACGATAATCACTACAAGTATTGATAAAATGTTTTATGTACTTGTAATGATGCTGTGTGTAAGAAAGTAGCTGCCAAAATTAAAGGAGGCAAAAAAAATAAATTAAATTCATCCATCACAAGCAAATGAGTGGTTAATAATATGAATTTCCATAGTTTTTTACAGGTGAGCAAGACCTGTATTTGGGGTTGACACAATTAAAACAATCCTTGCCCAATGCAGTACAGTTCAGTACAGGGCAATGCAATAAAGAAGAGCTTTGTTAAGCTTGCAATGTTCAGTTTGAGGCTGAACAGGAGGAGGCTTGATGCCATAGTTCGTAGAGTTGCACTGGATTGCAGTATGTTGTAAGATGTTGCCCCTTTTGTAAGTGAGGGGATGGATAAGGTACAGCTTGCAATACAGTAATATTTAATGCAATATCACCAACGTTAACAGCTTTAAAAATTGCCACAGTTAAATCAACGTCTCTCAGGCACAGCCTCAACCAAAGCTTAGTAGCAAACAGCAATGATTTTATCACGTCTTTGTGTACTGTACTGGATAGTATTTGGATGTTTAGCCAAGACATTACAGATATCGTCTTAAATTCTTGTCTTGGCTGCGTTCAAATCTCCAATAAGAAAAAGCTACAATGACACATGGTATCTACATTTAAAGAAGTCCTGTCAGAGCAGATTAAAAATAGCAAGTGACAATTACTCAAAGCAAACAAATCATACTGAATACATTTGTGCACATACTGTATATCAAGGTCTCACCTCTACATAATCTAGTAGATACGTTTAGCTTATGTATGATGAAGCACACTCGTAACTGATTTTCTTCATTTTAACCCTAGGCAGGATTCTGCTTAGTTAGAATAAAACATTAACACTGTAACTGGTTTTCTAAAATTAAGACTTCTATGATGTAGATATGAAGGGGATGTAGAAAAAACAACTGAATCCAATCTAATATGAAGCAGACAAACATTTGTGACTTTCCAAGTTACTAAATAACACCTCATTCCTAAAAATAACCATTAACCTGATTACAGGTTATGTTGCAGTGAGTATCAAAATTTTAAGACAATGTAAAAGGGAGAATTACTTTCTATACGTCACACCAAGTGTTGCTCTCTGCTTTGTGTGATTGCTTTCATTAGAGAGGGCAGGGAATAGCTCCCAGGGAAATGCTGTTGCAGTTTAATACCCAGCAGAGAACAATCTTCTGTCTGCAGCTGAACCATTGTTAGCGTATCCAGCTGTGTCTCATGCAGTTTTATTCAGACTGGATACTGATTGATTTTGGAGAGTTTGCAAGAGGTAGATGTAAAGTTCGAGTTTAGAGTTTAAAAATGAGGACTTCATGGTAAAAAAGCATTTTTACTGCAGAAAGTCGCTTTGTTGACCGACAGTTGTTACTGCCAACTCAGAGATTTCACACACCTGTCACACACCAATGCTCAGAGAGATGTAGAGCGAGATAGCAACAGCAAACAGTAATCTATACCCCTGGTACTCCTGCTGTCAACATACTGATAGTCCTCTGCAGGGCTTATGAGCAACTCCTCCCCAGATATTCAGGAATTGCTAAGGGTTTTACCCTGCAAAACCAAAAGATCCAACCCAGAGTATGAAAAAACATTGCTCAATTTAGAACTTTCGCCTGGTGTTACAGTGTGTTCTCACATTTCTTCCCAGAGGCAGAAAGTGTTGTGGGTCGAAGAAGAAAAACAAAACAAAAATCCCTGTTCGTATTTTTACTGTGTTCCCTGCTGCATATCACCACTATAGCACAGGTCAAAACACCATCAGTGACTTTATCTCATGTCTACTGTATGTGAGCTGCGTTCAGCTGTGACAGCATCTGCAGGGTGTTGATTATGGGCTAAAAGAGGCTTCAGGTCCTTGCCAGCTCTCTCGTGATTGGCTGGCGAGCAGAGGTCCAGTCGATGAACTGGATAGTGACTCAAAGCTCCAAATAGCAGCAAGGCAGCGACAACCACCTCCCCTGTTTACTTGTATTCGCCCACAGCTCCTCATCCATTCTTCCTCTGCTCACTTCTTACGCTACTTCTGCGGCTTTGTGGTTGTAAACACACTGCTGTGGTATGTTAAATTGTGAATATTAAGTTTTCCTCTAATGTATCTCTTTTCATGAAAATAATATTTGATGAACACCGTATTGATTTGTGGTTCCTCCAAAGCAAGTTCTGTCTTGCGTTAGATGTTTGACCTCAGCGAGAACTCCACATTTTAAGGAGATTCAATGGATTTTTCTGAACTTAAGTGAACACTGGCTGTGAAATGCAGACGTTTCCATCAGCAGCAGTGCCTATTCAGTCTGAACCAAGCTGTTGCCGACATCATGTGGTGTCGTGATTCTACGACTACAGCAGTAATTGTGGAAGTCAAGCTGTGACAAATCCATGCAGACTGGTTTTGAAGAATGATTCCATTACTTGACATCTCTGATTCCAGTTATGGGATGAGTCATGGCCCTGTTGTACCGCTGATTGTTTCACACTCAAACATCACAGGGATTTAACATCTGAACAGTCCTTCCATTAGCACTTTACTGTAATCCATTGTGTTTGTCTGTCTGTCTGTGTGTGTGTGTGTGTGTGTGTGTGTGTGTGTGTGTGTGTGTGTGTGTGTGTGTGTGTGTGTGTGTGTGTGTGTGTGTATGTGTGTGTGTGTGTGTGTCAGGGTAAACGTGGAAACATCTGTTCATGCAGTCACATCGTAGGGACTCACAACTGATCTTGGGACAAAATTTAGGTCCTCACAATGTAAACCATTAAATTTAAAGGTTAAGACTTGTTTTTGGTTCAAATCAGTTGGGTTAAAGCTACACCATTTTTTAAATTAACAATATGGACCAAAAGACTTTGTTTCAAAAGTTTTAGCTTGTGGTGAGGTTAGATTATCACCCACCTTTTCAGTTGCCCCCAGCTCACTGTTTTCTTTTTTACGGTACTAAATTTAATGTTTTGGTTTAGTCTCACCACTTTCATCAGTGTTGTGTTTAGCCACAGCAGGTTGCTTGTTGTTTTCAGTATAAAACCTCTAATAAACTCACAGTATGCTACTCGCCCATCACTGCATGGTAGGAATAAAAGTTAGACTGGGCAGTGAACACACTCCAATATCTGGCAACCTAAATCTTTGTAATAATAATAATAACAACAACAATAATAATAGTGGGTTACATTATATAACTGGAATATCCAATTACATTTCCCAAATGTTTTACAAAATGTTATGCCAATAGCACTGTAACAAATCACAAACATATTTACTCACTAAAATATTACTTAAAGGACGAGTGTCTAAGATTTAGTGACATGTAGAGGTGAAGCTGCAGATTGCAACTAACTGAACACCATCATCGCCGGAATTTAATAACCGGAGAATGAGAATGGGCTGTGAAATGTGTAGGAGGAAATACAGTGTCCATGAAACAAAAAAAAAAAACACTTGAAAGGCCCAGCCAGTGTTTGGCCTGTACCTTCTGGGCTATTGTAGAAACATGATGGTTCAACATTCCGGACTCCATCGAAGCCGCCACGGCTCATTCTATGGTAACAAAAGGGCAGCGATTCCTATATTCAGGTTATTATACACTAATTAAATATAAAAAGTTTTTTAAACACGACTCCAAATAAATGTGAATTTTAGCTTGTTGTGGAGTTCTCCCCCCCCCCCCAGTGGTCACAAATGACTGATTAACGCAGGTTTAAGGTTGGGATTAGGATTAGTGGTAGTGCATGTACTGGTCGTAGTAAAGGTTAGGGTAAGGCTCCAGGGAATTAATGTAATTGAGTGTGTGTGTGTGTGTGTGTGTGTTTGTGCAAGCGCGTGTGCATCTGTTTGTATCATTAATCTAAAATTAACTCTGTTGTTCGAGGTAATCAGATTATTTCATTGCTCTGTTGAAAAAAACAACTGTACTCTTGTAATTAAATGGTACAGCAGAAACCAAATAATATCCTGTTTGGCTAATCTTTGCCTTTATTCACACCAGTGACACAACGCAGCATCATTATAGACGACCAGCAGGAACTCATTATTCTCTGCAGTCATGCAAATGTGTAATGAGTGTTTGTTACTTTAAAAATAATAGCTGTGATGATGTGATATTGACCCTGAAATCCATTTCAATTCTTGCGTGAGAGTGTTTCAGGCTTTATTGACCTTCTAATCATGCAGCTCTCTGGCAGCTGCATTAACTTCACTGCAGCCTTGTCTCTAAAAATCAGTTATTA